CTGTGAAGTATATTACTAATTAGATGAATGTTAGTGTAGGTTTGATGCATTCTATAAAGTATATTACTAATTAGATGAATGTTAATTAGGTTTTGATACATTCTGTGAAGTATATTACTAATCCGATGAATGTCAGTGTAGATTACCTTTTTTTTCTTAGCATCATCAGTGTAGATTGGATAAATTCCATGAAGTATATTACCAATTAGGTGAATGTTAGTGTAGATTTGATACATTCTGTGAAGTATATTACCAGTTAGATAAATGTTAGTGTACATTTGATACTTTCTATAAAGTATATTACCAGTTAGATGAATGTCGTGTGGTTGATAGTACGTTTGGCTTCAAGAGGCTGTTAGTGACGAATTGTGTGATGTCAGTGTACTTAACTCGAGAAGAGTGAGGTCGAGTGGTAGAGTGTTTGATTACTAACACGAATGTCAACGTCTCTGAGCTCACCCAGCTGTAATGGGTACCTGACTCTAGTCGGGGTGATAAAGGCGATAAGTTGAAGAGTTGAAATCATTGTCAATAGATATGCTCAGAATACAGAAATAGATTAAATCTTCTTCTGCCCTATGGAGCTGCATGTGTTAAAGGCGATGTAACATTTTATTGTGGGACTAATGTGACGACTCATGCCAGAATGCTAACCCGAAAGTATCGAGTTCGAATCCAGGTCCAAGTCAGTAGAACGTCCCTAGGTCCACCCAGCTTTGATGGGTACCTAACTCACTTTAGGGAAAGTAAAGGAAGTTAGGCATAGCGCTGACGGAACTATCCCTTCATATTTCAAGGTTAAAGAAACAGGTGAACTCTACTTCACTTGACCCAAGGACCGTCAGGTTCGAAAAGGGGGACGTTAATTACTAATGTGACGAATTAGAGGGTAGCACTACAAAAGAATCGCGTGGACTGAAATAGGTTACTTTCCTAAAACTAAATTTTTGCCACAGTAGCAGCCCAACCCGTTTAAATGTATTTTAAAAAAAATATTTTTAAAAACAAATATTTTAAATCTGATAAAAGTTTTTTTTTTAAATTTATTTCACTTGTGCTGTTGTGCCGTGGTTTTACAATGATGTACTTTTCTGATGTAGTGTTATGTATGGTGTATTGTAGAATGATGTGCTGCTCTACTGTTCTGATGTCGTGTTATAAATGGTGTCTTGTAGAATGATGTGTTGCTGTGGTGTTATGATGATGCAATGGTGTGGTATTAAGAAGCACACGCCCATGATTGAGTCACAAGTGAAGAAAGAAGAAAAAAAAAACCACTTATTACTTTGAACGACTTGATCTACTTAACCCTGAACAGACGACGCTAATCATTGTCTAGAAGTTAATTGGTTTAATTCCTGCTGATTGTAGGGGGTGGGAGGGTTTGTGACCGGGGAAGGGGGCTATCTGATTATCTTTTTTAAAATAAATGAAGTACTAAGATATATCTATCTTCGTTATCCAGTATCAGAGTGACGAATGAGGATTAAAAGACACTTGGCCAGAAATGAATGTTATGAAAAGATAAGCGGTGAACGACCTTGAAGCAATGAAGAATGTCTCCAGACTTACTAGTTTCCCACGCACACAAAATCACACACATACATGTACATACACACACATACACCAACAGACACACACACACACACACACATACACGAACATACACACACATACACACAGACAACACGCATTACACATATTACACACACTGTGTACTAAAAGTATATATATATATATATATATATATATATATATATATATATATATATATATATATATATATATATATATATATATATATATATATATATATATATACATCCAGACAACACTGCTTTTTCAAGGGTACCTGTGCAAATATTTTCAAAACAAATATCCCAGTATAACTACAATAACGATATAAACCTATCTCAGGACAAGATATCTCAAAATGTACACATCCCTTGACAAAATACATCACTGGACAAAATATCTTCCACGAAATTTCTCCTGCAAACCATCAAAGCAAAATATATCGAGATCGAATATTTCAGGACAAAATATCTATTACAAAATGTCCGAATGATTTTATAAATAACTGGTTAGTGTATGGTAAAAATATATAGATAAAAGGTGTGTATATTATTTTGTTAAGAAACTTTATCATATTACCGCTCCAATATAGGTCCTACTTCTCTATTTGTCCGAATATATCATAAAATGAAACCTTAAGGCAGGGGTTCGCAACCCCGTGCCCGCGGGCGCCATGGCGCCCGCCGAACGATTCGTATGTGCCCGCCTCGGCAGAGACAGAATTTTTTTCTTAAACATTATTGAAAGGTTGAAGGGGATGGAAAAATCGAAAGTTTGAGGGGGGGGGGGTGCAAATCGAAAATTAAAAATTTGACGGGGGGGGTGCAAATCGACAATTTGAGAGGGAGGCAAATCGAAAGTTTGAGGGGGGGGGGGGGTGAAAATAGAAAATTAAAAATTTGAGGGGGGGGGGGGGGGGGTGCAA